TATGATCAAGGTCAGACATGTCCTTTCATCTTACGAGTCTGTTTTTCTCGGCGTTGAGGTTGTTTTTCAGTGTTTTTAAGAGCTGCCCTTGAAGAATTGCCGCTTTCTAGCAAAACATCGCCGGACGTGCTTGAACTCTTACGGGGGTGGGGAAACCAGGGATTGGTTGAAGCACTCGGAGTTCGCCAACTTGTAACGTTAGTAGTAAGCGAGGAGGCGCAGAGGTAAATAATGAAGCACTTAGCATCGATCAGGCTTGTCCTCAGAATGCGCCAAGCAGTCGACTTTTGCTTCGAATTGTTGGGGTATGTAGAAAGCCAAATGAGAATGTGGTTCCTCATCGAAGGGGTGTAGAAGCCAGTCCAACTATTCAGGTTATTGATTCTCTCCCAAACTTGTTTGGTGCGAATTAGCGGACCTCGGATGCATGGGAGGCCTAATTGGCCTAGTTATTAGGCATGTGCTTGAAGGCCTAACTCAAATTGTTCTTGCTTTATGATGACTTCTAGATTTAGCCTTCATAACCTTGACCGTTTACAGGGTGCAGTTCTGGCCCTAAACGAGAGCAAAGGTGCCAGCAAGCCGGCGATTCTGAAGTACTTGGCTCAGCACTATCAGCTTGGTGAAAATCTTCCAAAGGTAAGCTACGGCCGCCTTTCTTCCACTGAAGCCTGAGTGTTACCATAACATGATGAGTTATGGCAAAGGTCAAACTCCAGGAGGGACTTGAACCCGCAGCTCACGCTTTCCGGGCAAATGCTGTATCCGCTGCACCACCAGGTCCGTTTTTACCCTCTCAGCTTGACGGCTTTTATGCCGTAGCCTTACAGCACTCACCCAAAAAGCGTGAGGTGCTGATTTGAGTTCCGCGTGTGGTCTGACGTTTGCCCATCTCAGCATTTTGTGATAACTTTCGGAACGCGCACGGCGGCATTAACCATCAGTTATCTCAATAAAAGAACTTTATAACCTTAGTGCTGTGTTTCAGATTAATTCCCATCTGTGCATGGCACTCAGGAAGGCGCTTAAAGAAGGCAATATTGAGCAGGTGGTGTGCTTTCTGAGACTTTTTTACTTGTGAGACCTACACAACCAAATTACACATAAAAACCAGCTGCTCTAAAGGGATCAAGGCAGGAGGGGAGTAGAGGGAACATTACTGTGCGAAACAACTGTGAATTTTTCTCGGAAAGGAAACGCAGTCAAATCCAAGCAAGCTGCTACCATGGTGAGGCTGCCTAGATATACTCGAAATCCCTGAGATGAGGTAGGCGTGGCTGCGTACTTCAACTAAACGTCGTGGTGGCTATGCTTTTGGAGAGATATTTTCATTTTGACCCAAATGTGGTCACGTCTCTGTCCAACAAAGAACAAGATGGCGGTTGTCTCAAATTGAAATATCCACGAGTAACCAGTTCTGTGCCATGTTCGAATGCCACGCCTACCCCGTCTCAGGGATAAGGAGTATATGTACCTACCGGGAAATCGTACGAAGTGGGTGGAAGGTGTATTGCCCTTACTCCTTGCATGTT